CAGGGGCCTTGAATGTTTATTGTTTTAGCGTTGATGGAACATCTTCTGAACAAGATTCCCAAGACGCTCTTTGAAATCTTGGTAAAAGTGCATGTCTCGTGTTGAATCAAAGTCAACACATTACAGTATAACTAATTAGGGATGGGTTTCATCTTAGCTGTTCAAAAACATGTCACCGACTGCTATGACAATCACGACCATCAATCTTCAGCATTGTAATTGGCAATTATTTCGAACATGTTTAGTTAAACAGAAGTATTGGATAGACAAAAGTGAAATAGTCATCTTGTCGTGTCTGAAAGCATTGACTCAGTCGATCCATACAGGATATCAGAGTGACGATAGCATCCAATGTCGTTAATTTGTACAAATATGACGAAGATAAACATTTATAAGCAGAGTGTCAACAGAGATTTTTTTCTCTGGGACTGAAGACTTGAACTCATCAGAGCTTCCAGTGTTTATTCAGTCCACGTTAATTGAAAGTACATATGTGGACTAAAGATCTATCATCGATCTATACTGTTTTCATAGCTACTTTTCCCTATACACTAAACGATATATTGATAGTCTCAACTGGGTATTCTGTTGCACTGACGTTCAATGACATTCCATCAGAAGCATGATCTGATCAGTCTGGTGAGCGCTGTAGTGCCGCCATACGACGCCAAAATGGAAAAGGTATTGTCCTTCCCAGTATTTCCAACATTAATGTGCATTGTACCCTTCCTTTCTCCAAGAGATTTAGTGTCAGAATACTCATCTAACTACATCCTCTGGATCGGCCTATTTCCTGAGTATTAACCCAGTAATAATTGAAAACTGAGAAGTCAGTTTATTAAAAAATTACAATTATTATGTATACAGACGACTCTCATCTTCAAGCCTATTTACCAAAGAAAATGATTAACTCTATGTGAAAAAAACATAACAAAGGCCTCTTCAGCATGATTACAATGCCATTTAGCATCTCTTCAACATGCTCAGACATTTGCAAGAGTTTTAAGTATCCAAGAGCATTGAACTGAGTATTTGATTTACAGATCATCAACAATGAGCCAAACATATCTCCAAGGAATATAATCTGATAATTGTCTTTTGTAATTGTTGTGCGATAGTCGTGAGTCATCATCTCATTTTAACAAGAAATCAACACTTATTTTCTCTATGACGTTCATGTATTATGTCTGGATTCTCACACGGACAAGGACCGTTCAGTCGGTTGGCATGATTTCCGTCTCTGTGCTGACATCGCTGCATTAGAACTTTCCACCTCGCTAAATCAGCCTTTTTGAATCGTTGATTCTTAAAAAATAACACCAAAAGCTCAGAATACATCATTCATTTAGTCCACACAGAAAATAGGTAATTCAACACTGTTCGTTGACTCTGCTCAGGGTATATAAATAACTTTAACAATGATAAACGTTCGTTTTTATATTATGATGCAGGGAATGGGATAGAGAGCTCTGACAATGGGTCATTTTCAGGATTATTAGCCATTTTCTAAATTTAGAATGGACCACGGCCCTTGTATCAAAAGTAAACTTCAAAACTTTAGCGGGCCATTTTTTATAAAAATTTGCATCGGACATCATCTTTGTCGTACTGGTCGCTTTTATTTCACGGTCGTTTGGGTAAATCAGTGGAAGGGAATGGCCTTTTTGATGGTTATTGAATGATATAAGATTATTGATATACCTAAAGCTTAAGTTAAACTTCTGTGCTGAAGTACCTTGTTTTAATTTTGCCCATCAGGATGCCTACTTCTTGCCTAAATGTTTCGCTCTCATCTTTACACAGATGTTATCAACGAGAAAGTCCATCATAGTTTTCTCATAAAACTTGTATATGTCATTTTTCTTTCATTTTTGGTAATTTGTCCCTAACCTGAAGATAGACCTATCTATCTTTCTTCACCTCGTGTATTGACATATGCCCCATGGATCAAGGAATTAATGTTTTCGTTAAATTTGTCATGTGGGATACTGGAATCCATCTTTGAAAAATCAAATGCTTTGACATAACTGAACTCGTTATATTCTGAGATTGTAAACATTCAAGCAATCCTTTGAATTTCCTAAGAATTCGGATGGTATTAAATCAGCTTTTAAAATACTGTGAATATATTGATTGCCCCTCCCTTGCAGGTAAAAGGATTATTGTCATTATTATTCTTATATTGCTTGAGACCAGAATTTGGTGCTAATTTTGCATGACCCAGAAATATATGTCTCTTTGTAAGGATGGCCGATACAGGGCAGCCATACTTTGGATGGCAGTTGGCTGGTATAGAATGGATACATTTTAATTCTGTTATTTTTTACAGGTGGTGAGACTAAAATAATACACTCTGAAATACATTCTAAGGCTACCTTTGGCCCTTGTTTTGGCATATGCTTCGACAGCATCCATAATGATTTTAAGTTGTGACAGTTATCTAAGTTGTAGGACGCTGTTGACATTTTGGTTGTAATTATTATGAAGAAGTCATGAGCCACCTTCAGGTTTGAAGCAGTACACTGCGTCTTGTGAGCCACATTAAATGGTATTTGCATCATTTGCCGCCCAGTAGCACATCCTATAATTGCTCAGTATGTACGTATTATATATAATACATTGTAATACGATTAATATCGTTTTAAGAAAAACAACAAACGTGATAACGTTTTGCTGTTGAACGTTTGCTATAACTTCAGTAACTTTTAATCCCTTACCAAAAGACATATGGTTGCCAGATTGTGTTGTCAAATGCTATCAGCAACAATGGCCGTCCTGGTGGCGAACACCTACAATACACTATAAGCAACAATGAAACTGTAGAGTGGCACACCCTACATGGCTGATTAACTTTCTGAAAGTAGATGCAATTATTCTCAGTGGGATTTAGTCATGCTATCCGACCACGTTGTTGTGCTACATAGTTTCAATAACTCTACTATGACGATGTCCGATTTCTTTGAATGCTGTTATCAGTAATGTCATGATCCAGATCAATAATCAACCCAGAACATGATTGAACCCATGCAATATATTTATATCGGTATATTAAGTCATGAGTGACAATATTCCAGCAATATCACGACGAGGGACACCAGAAATGGGGTTCACACATTTTGCCCATGTGGGGAATCGAACCCGGGTGATCGGCGTGACGAGCGAACGCTTTAACCACTAGGCTACACCACCGCCCCATTTAGTCACGACAGAATGGAGATAAATGTACTCTCATTTCAAATATACACATGGTTTGGTTAGCTACATTTAGCTCACTATGATCTTTAACATTACATTGAAGACCGCCTCCGTGGTGTTGTGGTTAGAGCGTCCGCCCGGAGAGCGGAAGGTCGCGGGTTCGATCCCCTACCGCCTCATACCAAAAGACGTTAACATATGGTACTTGTTGGTCCCTGCCTGGCGCTCGGCATTAATGGGTACAGCAAGGACTGGTCGGCTCGGAGTCAGTATACTGTGTCTGAGTGGGGTATTCATGCTTCACTGCGGCATGGTATCTCAATGAGCTAGCACTATAAAACCAGCTTCTGTCTGGGTTAGTACATACACATACACACGCATGCACGTCGTCATATGAGCGAAATATTCTCAAGCACGACGTTAAACCCAATTTCACCTCACCTCATTACATTGAAATAAAAAACATGTTTCCTCTGTGTATATCTGTCAGATATGTTAAGCTACATATTTTCATTTTGATATTCTATATTAACCTTGGTGGCCCTTTACCAATAGACATTCATTTGAAATATTGATATATCAAACACAACCTGTTGTTTACAAATTATGTAATGCCAGTGATATATGTCTTTCAGTTTGATACAATGCATCTGTGTGTGTGCATGCGCATGTTTGTTTGCTTTGTAAAAAATACAACAACCTGAACATGTGTCCCATAGGGTTAAAGTGAACATGTCGACAAGTAAGGAATAAGCTTCATTTTGTATATTAACCACAGTGTGTGTAATTTCGATAAAACACATCACTGGTTCCTATGACAACCACGATCATCAATCTGCAAGATCACGGATGCCAATATTTTGTTCAGAGTTATACTGTTTGATAAACAGAACAATGATATCGACATTGTTGACCACAAGGGAAAATGTCTTTCTATTTGTCACGGATGTGTACTCAGTCGATTTTATTATGACCATGGAATCCAACACGATGTATTATATATAGACCTTGTTATAAATAAAAAGAATAGCAGTAATGTTTTAAGCTAATTAAACGGGCTTCTGCTGTTTATTCAGAACACATAGCTGTGAATTAAAGAGCTGTGATTCTCGTGGGATGCATTAAGTCAGTCTGTTATCGCTGCTGTCTCATACAGCCTTGTTACACAGCATTTTTTCAGAATGGAAAGAGAACTTCTGGTTTTACTTATGTCTACGACAGTTATGTGCAATGTTACCTTCCTTTCTCCAAGAGATTTAGTATCAGAATATTTATCTAACCACAATCCCATTGACCATCCGGTGCCTATTTCCAAGTCCATTCTAGAAGTCTCTGTCAACTTTAATCTGCTACACATTGAAGATCTGGACGAGTCAAAACAAATGCTGACCACCACTGGATGGTTTTCCTTCACATGGACACTTGAAGGATTGTCATGGGATGAAACTAAATTTCAGAATACCTCAAAAGCTTCGGTCTTACTAAAAGACATATGGTTGCCAGATTTAGTGTTGTCAAACGCCAATGGCCGTCTTGGGGGCGAACATCAACCATGCACTATTAGTAACAATGGAACTGTGAAGTGGTACGCCATAGATCGCCGCTTAACGTCTTGCACTGTAGATGTCACAGGCTTCCCGTTTGACAAACAACGCTGTTCCTTAGAGCTGACACAATGGACTACAGACACCTCTGAGGTAGACTACGTATTTCACGATGTACCAATATCCTTTACCTCACTTAAAGAAAATGGAGAGTGGGAGGTTTTGGGTTCGTTTGTAAAGGAATATTACACGTATGCGGGTATGTATCAGGTCCTGGAGATGGGACTTATCCTTGGTCGACGCCGAGCTTTCTACATACTAACTGCCGTTTTGCCTGTTTGCATTCTGTCTGCTCTGAATCTAATGGTGTTCCACGTGCCCCCGGAGTCGGGAGAAAAAATGACTCTCTGTGTGTCTGTGCTTTTGGCCTATGCAGTCTACCTGACATCCATCAATTCCTTCTTACCCTCTGTGTCCGACCACGTGGCGCTCTTCAGCGTTTATCTGAACTGCATGTTTTTCCTCAAGGGGCTGACTGTTGTGGCGTCAGTCTTTGTCCTACACCTTCACTCAGCACTGCCCAAGTCGACAATAAGAAAACAACTGACAAAGCTTCTTTCTGCCAATCCAAAGAAAGCTACAATCGGTGCCTCTTCATCTGGTAATCCCGATGAAGCTAATGACCCGAATGATGCATCTATGAAACCTAACATGAAGGCCGTGGACGTCAAACAGGTGCTGGAACAAGAACAGTGGTTTGATATTGTCAAACAGGTGGACCTTCTGTTCTTTTGTGTTTTCTTAATGTTGTACATTGTGTCGACATGTGGATTTTTCTGTGCAATTGCATTCAGACAAGTGTAATATTGATAAAATGATTACTGTAAAATCCGTCCTGGAGTTTTAAATTAGTGAATTCTACTGTTCAATCAGAGGTTGTCAAATCACAATAAATCGCCTCTGGATCAAATGGTTTAGTGAGATGTGCTTTTCAACTCTCATTGTCGGTTGTCAACTTTTATACTTGTAGCTTATAAAATGCAAATTGCCTCATAACTCAACGCATGCCAGGCAAAACATTTACAAAGTGAACGTATACTAGGCGTCATTAATAAAGGGTCAAATGATATATAGCACATGTAAAGAATAGTTTATCAGAAATAATAGAACTAAGAGTGTCATCATAATGTTTAATGTATTGACAAACGTGACACTCCGGACACAGAACGCAGACACCAGGTATTACTTCAAAGGTAATATACTCGTGCATGAGCTTAAAGAAGATAGGAACGAGAGAAGACCAGACAGTTCTGAAGACCAAGGACAGGCCCGGACCTCTGGAAGCACACTGACTCTCAGATCTACCTTCAGAACCTCGGACAGGGGGCAGTCACGATAGCGGAGTGTCCAGGGCCGATCGAGGGACAATGACTATATGGCGCTTCAGAACGATTCGAGTGACCGTGATAGTGATAAACAACCAATTACTTACTGTGCAGGTTGTGTAAGATTAATATTTTGGAAGATGTCAGGTATTTCACATAATCCGAAAACCACTAACAACACCATCATGAATGAATTCTGAGTCCTTGTCATTCTTCCGTTCAGCTTGTCAAGTTGGCAAGCATTTACCCACGAGGCTGTCAATACATGGAGGGACGAAAACGAGGGGGCACCTCCCTGTCCCTGTGATGTTCGAACTGTGGGTGTTTCTCACTGCCTCCCATGACAACGCATGTGTGACTGTATTTACAGTTTGGAAACTTACAACCGGAGGGGTGTTGGAAGTTAATGCATATCAGTTTCCCAAACTGATCTACTTGTCTGTTCCTATGATGAGGAGCTGAACTTGTGGGAGGCTTTCTTGTGCTTGGTGCAGTAGATTTCTTTTCTAGGTAGTAGAACATGTCATGGAAATGTACACAATTCCAACTTGTGCTACCTTCATCTGATTGTCGCCTTCTGTGTTTGTTATCTAGTACCATTATAGACTGTGTCGTGTAGGTCTGCGCAAATTCGCCAATCTGAGCAGTGTAATCAAAGTAAGATTTCACCCCAGTCATGTCAGTTTTACCCTCATCAGTCAGCTTGCGTAATATCCTAGCATTAGCAGAAATCCACTGAGATAAGGAGACTTGTTCTGGCGTTGGCTTAGAGTTACTTCTCATGAACAGCTTATTGTCACCCTCACTAAAAATGGGAGTTTCATCACTGGATACAGATGACTTTGGTTTAGTGATAAAGTCAGGGATCAAATGGGGTTTCTCACCTTTCCGTGATTTGTCTTTGGCACAGATCTCTTCTTCACATTTATTGAAGTTCAAATAGTATTTTAAATGGATATCAGACATTCCCTTTAGTAAGTCACTGAGTTCAACATTCTTAGACAAATCTATAGTTGTTACCCCAGCACTGCTGTCAATATTAGGTCCAAATTCTTGCTGAAAGGTAGTGGTTGAAGGTTGCTGCAGCAAAGTCACGTCTTCCAAAAGACCATTACGTTGCCCAGAAGGCATTTTCAGTTCAAGCACGTCATCTGTTGATAATCTCTGTAAACACTGCTTTGACACAATTTCTTCCTTGGAAAGAATGTCCAAAGTATTGTTACTCAGTCCTGATAAAAAAAAATACTCCCTGATACAGAAGGAATCTTTGTCTTCCGTTTCTTTTTACTGCAAATTCTCAGTGCACATTTTCGTCTGCTATGGTTCTAAGGTGACCTTGAACTGCCATGCCCCTTAGCACCTTAATTAACATAGTTATCTCCCTTAGGTCAGAGGTGAAGGGCTGGGGAAATTGTGTCTCCAAGAGTTATGTCCCTTTACGTGGAAATCAAGCCTTAGGTAGGTTATGCTGTCAGTTTTAATATCAAATATAAAAAAAAGTAATTTTCAACATACACAACCACTTACTAACTGTGCTGGTTGTGTAAGATTCATATTTTGGAACATTCAGGTATTTCACATAAACTTACTGATAACGACTCTTGATTATATTACATCCATTGATATTGTTGGTGTAATAGAGACATGGAGTAAGAATCTAGATTTTAGTGACTATGATTATAATGATTATGATTGTGATTGTGCAGATAAATCAGCATGATACGGAAGACTGTCTTGTGGAATACTAGTTATGGTACGAAAACCGCTATTGCAACACATGAAGTGGTCCAAAATAACGAATAACACAATATTTATCTAATTTGATAAATGTCTCTTTGATCTAGATGCTGACCTATTATATAGTTGTACTTATATACACCCAGATGGATCTTCCTGGTACAACAAACTGAATGCATACTATAGAAATAGTATTACAATTTTCCAGGAGAAACTGTCAGAGCTGATATCTGATTTACCAAATATCTATTTGTTATGTGGGGGTGACTTCAATGCTCGAACAGGTACTAATCCTGATTTTGTTGACGATCATTCTTTACACTTAATAATCGAGACCACACAATCCAGTGATCAGCAGCATGAGCATCGATTTACGCAATTGGGATACGATGACATGTCAGCGAGCTTGACCACGCGATCCCGTTAGTCGCCTCTTACGACAAGCATGGGTTACTGAAGATCAATTCTAACCAGGATCTTTACGGTGCCTTGCAAGAAGCATTATGCCGTTATAATAGTTAGGCGCGTCTGTAAGTATTCTCAGTTTGGTTTAGTGATGCCTGTTTCATGTTATCCGCTGCTATCAGTGCCTGTTCTATGTTGGAGTGAGATATGTTAGAGTTGTTTCTGTGTTTGAGTTGTCAGTGATTCCATGATCCCGATCAACCACCAGCTCAGTACCATTGCATCAAAAAGATGTAATTGGAATTTGAGAGAAAGATGAAACTGTCGGCCTTTCCGTCAACACAAATACATAGATTTAGTGACAATGTTACTTATGTTACAGTTAAATGCATTTCTCTTCTGAAACGTAACTCCAAGGTATTTATATTCATCAGCATATTCTGAGGAAGTGAGATTTAAGTAAATAGAAGCGACAAACCTTATCTACGTTCATAAGAGTCGATTGTACAATTGTGACATTTTCATGAGCATATATACTCACCGCCAAAAGAAACGCGAAATTCATCAATATCTACTATGACGTAAATCGACAGTGTTGAAGAGGTTTCTGATATGTAATTGCTTCAGTGAATACTGTTTTTCACGGCAAAAGAAAAATGTTTACGACAAACGTAGCATTTAAAATGTGAATTCAATGGTTTTCATGTTGCCCGTACAGAGATAGGTCTTGAAGTTAGAATTGCATTCTTTGCATGATGTTCTTGCTCTTACGATGCTACTTAAGGAACGGATACTGCTAAACTTCTGCATTCGCATTTTAATGCAGCAGTGACCATGTCACGTTTAAGTGCAAACGAACGTCAGAGAGCAATAGGGAATATTGAGGCAGGTTGGAGCATCCAACGCGTCGCCATGCATTATGGAACACATCAGTCCACCATCTACAGACTGCTTGGCCGCTACCAGCAGACAAACACCGTCGTTGACTACCCTCGTAGCGGACGTCCACGTGTAACGTCATACCGACAAGACCGCTACCTTCTGAGTTCTCATTTGCGAAATCGCTTCATACCAACCACCACAACGGCTCGTAACACCATAGGAAGACACAACAGACACATCAGCGACATTACTGTACGTCGCCGTCTCACTCAGGTTGGTTTACGTTGCCGTCGACCATCCTTTGGTTTACGTTTGACGCCACGACATAGGCGTGCTCGACTGAACTGGGCAGCAGTCCATCGCAACTGGCGCAATGGACAGTGGCAGAATATCGTCTTCCCAGGTGAAAGTTGCTTTTGTATCGATACCGCAGATGGCAGAGTGAGGATATGGCGTCGTCAAGGTGAAAGATTCTCAGAACCCTGTGTTTTGGAGAGAGATGGGGAGGGCCTTCCCTGGTGTTTTTGGGGGGCCATAAGCTGGGGGCGTCATGTTCAACATGTATTCTTTCATAACAATGGGCAAGGTCGTAATAGGGGTGTAACTGCGCAGCGCTACATCGACGAAGTGTTGAGGCCAGTAATTCGTCCATTTTTTGCTCAAAGAATGACACAGACATTCCTCCAGAACAACAACATCCAGACCATGGATTGGCCAGCTCTAAGCCCGGATTTTAATCCCGTCGAACACCTCTGGGGTGAGATGGAAAGACTAATTCACCAACAGCGAGTACATCCAGTTAACTTGCAACAACTGCAACGTAGTGTTGAGGACGCTTACAACAACGTTACAGGAGGTTCATTCGACGTCTCTTCAACAGCATGGGGAGGAGATGTGCAGCTGTTGTTGATGCCAACGGAGGCCACACCCGTTATTGACGTTAACGTTTGTTTCCCTGTAAAGGACAATTCCTAAAGGCATGGGTTATGTGGTTTCCATATTGACTTATTGGATTTTCATGTCATGTGGAGAGTAAACACACTAAGTGCTTTCTTTCGAGTTCCCGTTGCCTTTAGTGAAAGTAAAGTTAGTTGAAAATACGCCATATTTTCACTCATTGTCAGTATCGTCATTTCACACAATTCGCGTTTCTTTTGGCGGTGAGTATATTTGTTTCAGCAGCATCACAGCTGTATGATGTTGTTGGTAGTCTGAACCAGACAATCCAATGATTGTCACCATGCGATACAATGACAGAGCATGTGTTTATGAATCACTATGAAATAGGGATGATACCAGGTGTTTGCGAAAAGGTGAGCGTATCCTACCCCACCGGTGGCACCAGTCATAAACATATGCTATTCACCTGAATTAATTCGGGAACGTATGATACAACTCAAAATAGGGAATTTTTTTGTCTCCAACAACTAAAAGATTTTTGTTTTTGATGTATTTATGTTTAGTTTTCAGGATTTGTAATATTCGTGGAAAACAGGTGGTGAGTTCTGTAGGTCCATTGCCCATTTTGCTTTCAAAACGGCACCACCAGCATAAAATAAAACAAAACAAGCAGGAGAGCTGTAACAGGTTAAAGTTTTGGAATCTGTATGCTCACCTTCACAGATATGGCCAGCTAAATATAATTGAGTATCATTGAGGTATAGCGAAAAAACAACCGGCAACAAAATTTCACTTTGTCTACCTTCCACCAAACCATGGAAATAGTTTGAGCAATATGCATCTGCTCGAACGTATGATTGAATCCACGTCTACATGGATCTGATAATCTGAATATATTTAGCATCATAACCTTGGTTAAAGATGTTAAGTCACTTTTCTTCTCTCCAGCTACTATCAAAGCCTTTTCAAATGAATATCTCGATTTCAAGAAGTATTTCAAACTGTGATGAAATGGGGGAAAATGTAATCAATTGATGAATATTAACCAGCATGACTTTGATTCAGAGAATATATTGTTAAGATCTAAGAAGTCGAATAATCTGTTGTTCTCGTAACATTACA